TTTCCACCGGGCTAGATGGCATGCAGAAGTATGATTTGCTATTGTTGGTGCCTTGTTTTCTTAGAATGTAAGCCGTACCGGCTAGATAGGCAATTTATGGCCATGTATTTAAGTTTAATTTTCCTTCCGAGCAGGCTGTCTTGTGTTTCTCTCCCTCCCAAACCTATATCCTAGCTTGGATGGATGGAGACGCGACGCAGGACTTCAGGCCCCCCTTCTCGCTTGGTTGGACCCGATCGTCGTGCGCGCAGTACATTCTTCTGGCCTCACGCTGCGGTCTCTTGAGGGTCCTGTAGGGACTGCACAAGACCGGCCGAAGAGGAAACCACCAACTACTGTCAGCCATGGATGGCAGAGCGGCAGGAGACGCGGACGTTCGGGAAGAGTGTTGAGTGCGCGTGAACTGGACTCCGCATTTCGGGGGAGTGATGTACTTGGGCATAAATTATATCACAGACTAGTACGGGAGGTGAATGGAACCGTAGTGAATTGAAGGTGATATGGACCCGTAATGGCACGCTACTGAGTCTGGAGGACTGAGACATTGAGAACCGAAGGCGGAGCTAAGTGAAGGTCATGGGTGATCATTGATATGGATATTGTGTTGCTACTCATGACTAGGCGCAAGTAATCTGCTCTTGTTAGAGCGAGCGAGAGGGAAGGGGGCGGGATAATGATCCATGCACTGGCTCCGGTATGACGTCATGGGCTTCTAGCCCCTTGATCGAGGTTCTTAAACTTATCCCCCACATCATTCCCATGCGGGACTGGGGCAGGTGGTATTGCCCTCTCCCTTCCTTTCTACCCCTGGGAGCCTTGTTTGGAAGTTAATTCGAGCTCGGAGTTCAGTTCTGGTTATGGATCCATAGGGTCTTGCTCGAGGCGCTGAACAAGTAGGAGAGACTGTCAAATTCCTGTTCGGCTGGGAGTCAAAATTTGGTTTCTGCAAGTAGTGGGCTGGTTCGCGGCCGGCGAGATCGCCCGCGGTCGAACGTCGCTGGGTTTGTAGGACGGCGGCGACTCGTACCACTCAGTTATATCTGTGTTTATAATTTATATTGTGTATTTAATTTAGACTCAGCCTGTGGCCCGGCTATAATGTAGTAGATATGTTTTCGTGCAAACAAGGCAAGTAATATGGGCCATTCTGCCCGAGTTAGATGCCGCTGTGTGCGAGCATGTAAATGTGCAGTTCGTTCAGTTGTTCTGTTTAAATTCTGTGGTGTATGTTAAATTCTGTTATTTGTTAATATATTGATTGCCATCATTTGTAACTACATTTTCCAAGCTGCTAGCTTGGATCGCTTACACTAACTTAGGGAGCGTGCGAGCACAGCACGAGAGCCATATGAGGGAGCAACGTTTCCCCCTCCGATTGAGGAAGGGTAGACGGGGCCGAAAGGTGTCACAGAGTGACGGTGCTGTGGTAGCAGGCAGTAAGACGGCACAAATGGTAGCAGAGCGAAACGCGGCTCATTAGCAACGCAACTCTAGAAAGCTAGCAAAGGCAAAGCTCGCAGGCAAGCAACGAAATGCTCACAAGCTAGCAACGCAAAGCTAGCACGCTAGCAACGCAAAGCTAGCAAGCTAGCAACGCAAAGCTAGCAAGCTAGCAACGCAAAGCTAGCAAGCTAGAAACGCAAAGCAAGCAAGCTACCAACGAATAGTTAGCAAGCTAGCAACGCAAATCTAGCAAGCTAGCAACGCATAATTAGCAAGCGAGCAATGCAAAGCTAGCAAGCTAGCAACGCAAAGCTAGCCAGCTAACACCGCAAAGCTAGCAAGCTAGCAGCTCAAAGCTAGAAAGCTAGCAATGCAAAGCTAACAAGCTAGCAACGCAAACCTAGCAAGCTAGCAACGAAATTCCAGCAAGCTAGCAACGCAAAGCTAGCAAGCTAGCAACGCAAAGCTAGAAAGCTAGGAACGCAAAGCTATCATGTTAGCAACGGAATGCTAGCAACCTAGAAAAGCAAAGCTAGCAAGCTAGCAACTCACAGCTAGCAAGGTAGCAAAGCAAAACTAGCAAGCTANCTAGCAACGCAAAGCTGGCAAGCTAGCAACGCAAAACTAGAAAGTTAGCAACGCTAATCTAGCAAGCTAGCAACGCAATTCAAGCAAGCAAGCAAGCAACGCAAAGTAAGAAAGCATGAAAGCAACGGAAAGCAAGCAAGCAAACAAGCAACGGCAAGCATTCAAGCAAGAAAGCAAGCAACGAAAAAAGCAAACAAGCAAGCAACGAAAAGCAAGCCAGGTACGCAAAGCAAGCAAGCAACCAACTCAACGCAAGGAAGCAAACAAGAAACAAGAAACGCAAACAAGCAAACAAGCAAGCAACACAATGCAAGTAAGCAACTTAAAGCAATTGAGCAAGGAAGAAGGCAAAGGAAGCTAGTAAACAAAGCAAAGCAAGAAAGGAATGCAAACCAACAAAGGAAGCAAGAATCACAAAGCAAGCAAAGCAAGCAAGGAACACAAAGCAAGCAAACAGGCAAGCAGGCAAGCAGGCAAGCAGACAAGCTGGCAAGCAGGCAAGTTGGCAAGCAGGCAAGCAGGCAGGCAAAGCAATGCAGGCTGGCAACGCAAACAGGCTAACAACGAAAAGCAAGTTAGCAATGCAAGAAAAATCTAGCAAAGTAAAGTAATCTGGCAAGGCAAACAAGATAGCAAAGCAAAGCTAGCAAGCTAGCAACGCAAAAGCTAGCAAACTAGCAACGCAAAGCTATCAAGCTAGCAACGCAAATCTAGCAAGCTAGCAATGCAAAGCTAGAAATCTAGCAACGAAAATTTAGCAAGCAAGCGTGCTAGCAACGCAAAGACATCAAGCTAGAAAAGCAAAGCTAGCAAGCTAGAAACTAATATCTAGCAAGCTAGCAACGCAAAGGTAGCAAGTTAGAAACGCAAATCTAGCAACCAAGCAAGCTAGCATCGCAAAGCTTGCAAGGTAGCAACGAAAAGCTAGCAAGCTGGAAACGAAATCTAGCAAGCTAGCAACGCAAATCTAGCAAGCTACTAACGCAAAGCTAGCAAGCTAGCAAGCTAGAAACGCAAAGCTAGCAAGCAAGAAACGCAAAGCAAGCAAGCAATCAAGTATACATGCAACGCAAAACAAGCAAGCAACGAAAGCAAGCAGAGTAGCAAGCAACTTAAAGTAAGCAAGTTACGTAAACCAAACAAGCAAGAAAGCAACGCAACGCAAGTAAGCTAGCAAGAAAGCAAGAAACGCAAAGTAAGCAAACAAACAAACAACACAAAGTTAGCAAGAAACGCAAAGCAAGAAAGCAAGCAACGAACGCAAAGCAAACTAGCAAGCAAAGAAAAGCAAGCAAGCAAGCAGCGCAGAGCTGGCTAGAAAGCAAAAAAGCAAAGCGAGCAACAAAAAAACTACGCAAAGCAAGCAAACAAGCAACTCAAAGCAAGCAAGGAATGCAAAGAAACCAAGCAAGCAAGAAACACAAAGCAAGCAAAGCAGGCATGCAGGTAATCAGGCAAGAAGGTAAGCAGGCAAGCAGGCAACACAGGCAGGAAACGCAAAGCAGGCTAGCAACTCAAATCTGGCTAGCATCGAAAATCATGCTAGCAACGCAAAGCAAGATAGCAACGCAAAGCCAGCTAGCAACACAAAGCAAACTAGCATCGCAAAGCAAGCTAGCAACGCAAAGCTAGCAAGCTAACAACGCAAAGCTAGGAAGCTAGCAACGCAAATCTAGCAAGCTAGCAACGAAAAGCTAGCAACGCAAAGCTAGCAAGATTGCAACGCAAAGCACGCAAGCTAACAACGCAAATCTAGCAAGCTAGCAACGCACAGCTAGCAGGCTAGCAACTCACAGCTAACAAGCTAGCAACGCAAAGCTAGCAAGCCAGCAACGAAAATATAACAAGCTAGAAACGCAAAGCTAGCAAGCAAACAAGCAACGCCAAGCAAGCAAGCAAATTAGCAAGAAACGAATGGAAAGAAAGTTACGTTAAGCAAGCAAGAAAGCACGAAACCGAACGAAAGGAACAAGCAAGCAAATCAAAGCAAGCGAGGAACGCAAAGCCACCAACCAAGCAAGAAACCAAGCAAACAAGGAAGCAATGAACGCAAAGCAAACATGCAGGCAAGCAGGCTAGCTTTGCGTTGCTATCTTGCTAGCTTTGCGTTGCTAGCTTGCTAGGTTTGCGTTGCTAGCTTGCTAGATTTGATTTGCTAGCTTGAAAGCTTTCCGTTGTAGCTTGCTAGCTTTGCGTTGCTAGCTTGTTAACTTTGCCTTGCTAGATTGCTAGTTTTGCTTTGCTAGCTTGCTTTGCCTTGCTAGCTCTTTTTGCGTTGCTAACTTGCTTTTCGTTATTAGTCTTCTTTGCGTTGCTAGCCTGCATTGTGTTGCCTGCCTGCTTGCCTGCTTTCCTTCTTGCCTGTTTGCCTGCTTGCCTGCTGGTCTGATTGCCTGCTTGCCTGCTTGTTTTTTTGCATTCTTTGCTTGCTTTGCTTGCTTTGTGATTCTTGCTTCCTTGGTTGGTTTGCATTCCTTATATGATTTGTGTTGCTTGCTTGCTTGCTTTGTGTTGCTTCCTTCTTTCTTGCTTTGCTTTGTTCCCTTTCTTGCTTGCTTTGCCGTTCTTGCTTGCTTGATTACTTTACGTTGCTTTCTTGCATTGTGTTGCTTGCTTGTTTGCTTGTTTCCTTTCCTTGTTTCTTGTTTGTTACCTTGCGTTGCTTTGCTTGCTTGCTTCCTTGATTGCTTTGTGTTGTTTTTGGCTTGCTTGCTTTGTGTTGATTTCTTGCTTGCTTAATTTTGTGTTGCTTGCTTGAATTGCGTTGCTAGCTTGCTAAATTAGCGTTGCTAGCTTTCTAGCTTTGCGTTGCTAGCTTGCTAGCTTTGCCTTGCTAGCTTGCTAGTTTTGCGTTGCTAAATTGCTTGCTGTGCGTTGCTAGCTTGCTAGCTTTGCGTTGCTAGCTTGCTAGTATTCGGTTATTTGCTCTAGCTTTGCGTTCCTAGCTTTCAAGTTTTGTGTTGCTAACTTGCTAGATTTGTATAACTAGCTTGCAAACTTTGCGTTTCTAGCTTACTAGCTTTGCTTTTCTAGTTTGCTAGCTTGCTAGATTTTCGGTGGTAGCTGGCTAGCTTTGCGTTGCTAGCTTGCTAGAATTGCGTTGCTAGCTCTTTGACTTTGCGCTACTAGGTTGCTAGATTTGTGGTGGTAGCTGGCCAGCTTTGCGTTGCTACCTTGCTAGCTATGCGTT